CAAAGCGGTCTCCGAACTGTGGGTATTGCATTAGTTGCGGAAAACATAACTTTGCGATGTAAAGTTTACTGACGGCATCGTTCGTCTTTTACGACAGAGAAGCCTAATTTGCAGCGCCAGATTTATTTGTTCAGCAGGAATTTGTGAACCAACGAATTTACGAGCGATGACTATGACTCGATAGTGTGTGGTTGGGTTCGATGCTACTAACCGTGACAAACATAACTTAAATGTCTTCGACAGAATGTTTTACGATAAGTCCTGTCTGGATGGATGGAGAATATTTATCCGGAAGCAAACAACCTATTTAGTAGATAATTGGTGATATCTAACTCAACCAAGGAATGTAGAATCACAAATAATTCACGACCGGGCTGGTTTATAATAACCAGTCTAGACATGTGGCATGACAAATTAGATAGTTGTGTCGAAAATGAACTTTCTGGGTATATGAATGCTCTGAGAAAAGATAACCGGATGTGCGTGCCATGCCATGGACGGGCGTCAAGAACCGTGAAATAGATCAGTTCAATTCAGTTTTTACAACCATTAACCATGCAATTTCGTGCGCCGGTTTTCGTTGTTGTCTTTTGGTTGTCCATTTGGATAAAGAGCAGAGTGAAAATTATAATGTTGAAAGCAAATTCAAGCGAAAACTGGAGAATTCATATGAAACAATGATAGGGGAATAATGAGAGGATGCACGGGCGCCACTGTTTTCCACACCCAGTGGTGGTGGCCCGGTGGTAACGTCCCCAAATTATCTCCCCGGGGTGTGTTTGAATCCCACCTCCACCGCCTGAATTTCCCCGATTGTGTGCTGAATGGTAGCCCTTTGATTGGACGAATTCGCCTTCTTGAACATTGTCCTTGCATATTCGTCAAAAGAAAGTAAAATGAAAAGAAAAATCACTCAGGGTCTCTAACCATCGATGATTATTATCTCGAGGTCCCCAGCTAGGGAGGAAACGGGGCCTATGTCACCTAGTCTCCTGCTTAGGGTCTTCATAACCTCATGCCAGTACTTAGTTTGACCACTCTTGACCAATTTTCAAACGGGGGATCTTATAAACCGGCACTGACTCCCTGGTGGTCAAAAAATAATTATGATGGATTGAATGTCCTATTTAAGTAATTTAGTAGCAAAGGACGGTAGCATAGCAAAAGGGGCAACCAAAATCTCTTTCAAGACATACGCAGGAGTGGAACACCTATGGCGTTCCTTTGATATTGAACTACCGTGCATACTGCTCCAACGTGCTGTCTGTTATGCTGTACGATTCACGCGCAAAAGACATTCATAGTCAAGATGTCTTCAATTGTTAATGGTAACGTAGTTTGCTGTAGGTTGGATGCGGCGAGTGTGTAAGTAACACTGCAATGAGCCATCGAGTATTTGGTGACGAGTCAGTGGAAAATGTTTTAGTACATAAAATTCAGATTACTAGATTTCACTGATATGGGTACGTTTTGCGCATGCCCAACTTTCGTTCATCGCACCGCTCCTCCCTCGCTGTTGTTGCTCCAGATTGGAAAAAATCACAGGGAGGTCAGTAGGTGACATTGAAACGAGGCATGAATAAATGCACAGAGCGACTAAGGAAGATTAGGTATCTTATACCTACGATGTCTAAAATGCTGTCCAACTGGTTGACTGAAGATACTTGAGGAGATGACAGTGAGTCGACACCAGGGGTGTTCCTGTTGTTACTTCTAATCAGGTTAGATTAATTCATGTTTTTGGTGTGCATAATGAACTTCGGGATCGTCATGGAGTTTCACCTACCCACTCTAAATAAACATCATCTTTGCCTCATACACAATGTGAGCATGGTAGTGATCGGTGGAGTGATTTTCTCTATAATGACCTATATGACGATGATGCTGGTGGTTAACTAAACCATGAATATTGTGAAAAAGTCAATTCCGAGAAATGTCAATTAGAGACCAATGAAACTTTAAAATCACCAGCTTGAAAAAGACTGTTGGCTGCCTCAACCATGGCCAACTTTCATACTTTTAGTATTTCTAGTCCAATGAGGCACACAAATGAAGATGACACCTGAAAAACATTAATTGGCAATTCGGTTCAGCCCTGGTTGATACAGCGGTAATATTCACCTTTCGTTAGATTGAGCCACATTCTAAAAATAGGTCAAGTCCTTAAATATGCACCACTTATGAGCTCTAATAAGAGCGAAAATCGAGTCTATTGCTTCAGAGTATGTGGTTGACTCCCATGTAAATGAGTGAAATTATGGGGAATCAACGATCTCCCAAGGGGTGAAACCCACACCTAAGAGTGCCTGATGTCTCTCTTAACAATCGAATGGGCAAGTCCAAGCTTGTTACGCTAAAAGTTGAGTGAGCCATTCGCACAAGATGAACCGTGTAGCTCAGGGGTAAGGTTTTGAAGTCCCAACCCGAAAGTTCTCTGTTCAAGTCCTAACAGGGGTACGAAAAATACGCACTGCTGACGAGTACCAAACAGGACAAAACAGCTGTTCAGTGCTTTTTATCGGTTATCACAAACATTTCCATCGCGGTGAGAGAGTACATTTTTGTCAATAATACTATTTTAGTGATTCCACCGCATTGCACTTTGCGAAAATTTACCAAGCGTAGATCTCACTTCAAAGACGGGTTCCTGTCAAGCCTGACATGCTGACATGCCAGTCTTTGCACGACTCATCGCAAAATTTCAGAGGAGAAAGCTCTGGAAGCACTGTGCGAAATGTTTAATCATGCAAGAAAACAACCGTGATATATATTACATTGCAATTGAATTTCTCGGATATATATTTTTGATGCCCAAAACCATCGAATAATTAGGTATGTCAATAGTGTTTATGGAATGGGAAAACTGCAGTCTAAATAGAACTTGCATAAAGTTCAAGATTCAATATTTCTACAATTATTTGAGAGCTTCACAGTTGTTCAGTGTCACTGCGGTTTTTTAATTTCGAAAATGTTGTCATTCTATCGCTGTCAGAAATACGCTTGACAAAGAAAACGAATAAACCGTTACCATGGGTTTCGAACTCGGAAAAGGCTTCATTGACAGCCTGGTGATGGCACGGAGTAGTGCATTCTCGCATTTAGAAGATTTTGCCGATCGTCTGAGCCATTTTTTCACCACTGGAATCATACTCATGTTTGCCGGAGTCACGATGGCCAATGTGTACTTTCTGCGGCCCATATCCTGCACACTACCGACCGCCCCGGATAACAAGTTCAATGAATTTGCGGAGTCTGTTTGCTGGGTCAAAGGGACCACAGCATTGCGTGCATCCGACAGAATGCCCATGGACGCGAAGGATTGGGATCAACTTCACGAACGCTCAGGCATTTGTAAGTCATATTTTCCCGTTCCGTTTTTCTCCTCTATTTCGAATAATCGCCGATTAATGAAAGCGAGAAGCTAGGCCATTTAGCTGAGTTGATCTTTATTATCAGACAACCTCGTTTCAGTAAAACAACCGTCATGTATTTTTTTGGTTTTACTGAATAACAACAGGGGTATTTCATTAGTAACCAGCAACTGTACTGTTGTACTCGCATTCTGAAGTTTACCGCATGGGAATGAGCAGCGTCACTTCGGAACGATAAGCTACAGAAAGGTTATATGGCAACGTAAGGCAGCGAAGCCAACTTTACTCATTATTTCCAGGTAGATCAATCACAGGTGCACTTGAAGGAAAGGAACGAGAAGCTGAACTTGCACAGACAAACTGCTTAACACAACTGGTAATAAAACACCTTCAAACAGTGAATTTTGATGAGAAATGCTAATACGCTGCGTTGCTGTTGATTCCCTGCTAGGTCCTTCTTTATCTTTCAACTGCAGACTCTAACCCGGCGAGTTAGAAGTGACTTGCTCTGAATAACTTCACTGATCACGTTTTCAAGCAGATCATCCGTTGGCCTTAACATTATCTGTTGCATCATAGCAGGACAACTGCTTACGGGATGTGATGGGATAAACGAATGCTATGCACGATAATGGAACTCAAATTGTCCAAATTCATCATGATGAATAAATATCCTGCGAATCTATCTTAGAAACCTATTCATTTCCATTCATTTCTCTGTGATTATGTTTTATTGACGCGTAACTTGGAGAGGTCTATCTGGTGTTAATGGTTCTCTGTTTACACTTATATCACTATTATGTTTGTCCCTTTCCACGTTTCCCTATCCCTTCACAGCATTCTATCAATGGGTGCCGTTCTGTCTCTCAATCCAAGCTATGCTATTTTTCTTGCCTCACGCAATTTGGCAGTCCTTAGCTCGCTACACGATGGGTGAAAATTTAGAGTGCATACTGGACAAAGCTCGTGCAGCAAACGCGGCTGACGATCGCGATAAACGTCAAAAGTGCATATCTATTGCAGCCTATCAGCTATTCAGACTTTCGCGACAACATCATGATTACCGTTCCAGCAGTTGGGCCCGTTGGCAACGGCGTGCAGTACAGCGAATACCAGGAGGTAGTCTATTTGTTGCAAGCAAACGCATGGGTAACTGGGTTATGATGGCTTATCTATCGGTCAAATTACTGTACTTGGTCAATGCATTAGGTCAGCTGTATCTGATTCGAACGTTTCTGGGCTACAACGGTGGTTTGTTTTCATTTGGAGATATTTTGGTTGGAACATTGACGTCGAAAAAGGAATGGGATGAAAGTGATTTCTTTCCCCGCCAAACATATTGCCCCGTATCAGTACGACAACTGGGAGCAAGTAACAACGTGTTCACGGCTATATGTGTCCTGCCAGTCAATATGTTCAATGAGAAAATATACATATTTCTGTGGCTTTGGATTGCTTTCGTCGCGGTGGCCACGGCAATCAGTATGCTTGTGTGGCTTGTTCGGTCGCTGTTCCACCGATGCCAGACAACATTTGTTCGTGACTTCCTCATCCTATCTGTACAGAGTCAGGTCAACGAACCGGATCGAGATCATTCAGACAATTGTACTGCTTGCTGTATCCAACCAAACGATCCTACCGTGGATCGATTCATCGTAGAGTGTGTGCGAAATGATGGCACATTCCTTTTACGTATGATCCGTTCTAACGCGGGTGATGTAGCTGCCGGTGAGATTCTAGCCACTTGGTGGCATTTATTTGTCCAGTATGAGCAAGCTGAGTGTGCGCAGTTTGAAAAGCAGCGGCTAAAGTACGCCATGGCAGCAGACGATGTCTACGGGAACTTGAACCAGCCGGACGGACAGACTGTTTTACGTAAAGGTTCTGCAGAAAAAGCACCAAGTTTTGTTTGATTTTACAACAATTGTATATCACTACATCTTTCGTAATGCCACACATCAGTACGGAGACAAGCTTCGAGTAAACTCCATTTATCAACACGATCATCTAGTTCCCATCCATTAAAATGATTTTTCTTTTGGTAGATGCCTCAGTAAATGCCAAAATTTTATTCCGTTGTTTTTTGCGTGATAAGCTTGAAGATTTCATCCATGGATCTCCCCGCTACTTTGGAAAAGTTCGTTTTTGACAGTTTCATTTAATTTTAGCCAATGAGTGTTTATTTGCCCACATTGTACCCGAATTTTCCCCCTGCTGACAACAAGAACATGGGGCAACCCGACCCCCCCCCCAATTTGATGAATCCTACTTTTCCATGTCGACTGTGAGACGCTTGAAACAATCTTCCGACCATTGGATACCATATGGTCTAACCATAAATATTTATTTATTGACGAAAATAAATATTTCATTAAACGTCATGGCACCAAGATTGCTCATCTTTCATTGATGCAAATTTGATCTCATTATGGAGCGTTTACCCAGGAGTTGTTAAGGAAACTTCGCCCGAATTTTTAGTCTAGTTAAAAGTCATTTCTTCATTAAACAGCTTCAATTATATAACTGATTTTCTGGTTAAAGTTTGGTCCCCCTGATGTATGTGAATCACAGTTCACAGTTCCACAGTTCACAGTTTCCACTTTTCAAATTTTAATTTTCTGTATACAAATTCACTGTTCTCACCCATAAGAGACAGGCACTGCGAAAGCTATCCATGAAGTAATAAATCAGTAAAGATATTATCTCAATAAAGTTACTATTCGTTAGACTTAAAATAAGGTATTCATATTTATAACCGCAGAGAACTACGTTAATCTTCAGTTTAGAAGCTCTCGATGCAACGATTCACCTTTTTAATCACTGCGTTTTAAAACTGCCAACTCACTCTTATCGTGCCATTTTTGGTTCACTACACTGTAACAAATGACGCACACTCAGGCTATTTTGACGTTTTTCGTACTCACAGTTTATTCATTTTCTGATGACGAATAACGCTTTCGAATAACATGTGACTGCTAATTCGTTATGTGTATCTTTCTGTTTTGATGTTTGAATTGCGGATGAAGTTTCAACATACGTTAGCAGGAAAAATGTTCCATAGAAATGGATTTCTTGTGATCACGCATTCTGACACTTTGGTGATCCCCGCCCAGCGCCGCATTCGGAAGCCACAGGCAGAATAATTTTAGGTAAATTAACACTGTCTTTACCGGCAATGGATTTTCCAACAACGGTTTCAAGCCACCTATCGCAACCAGTTTTTACCAATCCTCCCTCTGAATTGGAAATAATTAGTAGATTAGTTCCAAAGAAAAAGTGTAAAGAGGAAGGACTCGTTAAGGAGGAAGGTCTCAGCCTCCATCTCCACATCGATAAAACTCATAAGCTCACGATGGGAAAGCACACAGATTGGAGACAAATGGTGTATATCGGTTATCGTACTGAGGCCACCCTCTGAGATCGGCAGTCCGACGCACGCAACCAATGCGCACATGACTGTTCTCATTTTGGCTCATTCAGAGCTGCGCCTATTAGGCCACAACTGGTTGCTAACTTCCTAAATTTAGGTAACTACCTCTCGAACTCTATCTGATTTAAAGTAAACTCATTCGGCATGGGTAGAGTTTGAATAAACTCCGTGACGAACTTCCAGGGGATGTGTTTTTATTGAATATTAGAACATATGCGGTCATTTGTGCATTTTTGTATTGTATTGTGGATAGCGTTTCCCAGCACTGAAGTTTACACCCTAGTTAAAAGCTATAAGTGCCAACCGTCACAGAGAACTTATTCAACGGGAAAAGTGTTTAGCGACATGGGGACATTTCAAAGTCCAAGGTCACTTGTTACCCCTCCATTGTTTGTGAGTAAATGTGCAAGATTGGGTATCGGGGATTTTCAGTAAGCGTTTATGCGAGATAAAACTTAGCAGCTTTTGGAGGGACGGGAAGGACAACGTGTCAGTTCCACGTGCAATGAATGGTCAGGATCTGTGAAAGTACTCTCCGCAGGAAGTTTAATGATGCTCTGAAATTTTCGCAGTTAACTCGTTCACAGGAATAAAAGAAACGCGATTAGTAATAATTCGACCACAGTGTAGGAAATTGGAAATCCTTTTTGAGTAATCCAGGGAAGAAAACTGAGGAACAACAATGTAACTTGGGGAAAAATACACTGATACATAAAGGTAGAAACAACTGACTGGGATGACTGAAACTGCCTGAGGTTTTCGATTTAAAATGATAGGCTCCGCGGTTTACCAGTGTATTTGTGAATGTGGGTTCACCAACGATTGCTGCCTATAATTAATTAATTGTAATTAAACCAAGGTAATTAACAGAACTGACCTTAGACAAAGGATTGTTATTATTATTTTTCACTGTAGTATCTGTCAGGTATACAGAGCGTTCAAAATCACATGGACATTCAACAAATTTATTGGGGTTCAAGCTTAGCCCCATTAAGGACGAGAATGATTGAATTTGACCAATATTTTCGGTGAAGTAGCTTAGATCGGAAGAAGAATAAATGAGCTGGCACAGCACATAATCTATATATTTCAAAACAGGTGCACACCGAATATCACAAATGTACGTGAAAAGTAAGAACAGGCATTACTCCAGGAAGCAATCCGGATTTGTTGACTAAGGGTTTAGATAGAGCTTCCTCTAGTCGATAGTGGTTTGTTTTCTATCAGTAAAACAGTTGGATATCCAAATTCCCCTTTTCGTATCCGTTTTGACCAAGAAATAGAAGTAAGTTGGTCAGTTGGAGGTGTAAATTGATTCCTTTTCAATGGAGATCATTGCCCCAGTCAGGGAAACAGCGTCCAATTCAAAGAGTGCTGGAGGTATATCATTCCAGATTATAGCAGAGGGCGAATAACAACAGTGATGACTGTCACAGGAGTGTGGTATTGAGATCCTCAACATCAACGCTCACCTTCAACCGTACTTTCTTTCCCCCACAGTGAATTCTGATACCTTGCCAAAGCTGTTTGCTGTTTCCCGTTCTCACAATTCAATCAAAAATGATGCGTTTAATCTATCTACTTGAACTTTGATAAGCCCGGACAAAACAGTGTGAGACTTGCATACACTCGTTTTGTCGTCGCAGAGAATTTGGTAGTGGAGAGGTTATCCTTTCGTTGGATTTAGTTTAACAGAGTGACACAAATGTATATAGACGAGTAAGATGATGAAAACCTCAAAGAAGCCTACCCGAGAGTATCATGGCAAGTGAGTAGCTCGAAAACTAAATCCGATGTGGTCAGATCGAGAGAAAGATTTATATGCTTGGTTTGAATGAGCTTTAGGTCAAACCAAGAGTAAACAATGGTCACTGGTGGAAACTGGTGCTTTTGGTGCCAAAGTAAAAACGTCCGAGTGGTTGGTGATTGCTGTATCCAGTATACAGTTAACCCTTATGAAAGATTGAGAAAGATCTGTCATACCTTATGATAAAAGAGGATGGGTACCAGTTTCGTTCAATTGGCCAACGATTGTGTGCAAGTTGACATCGAAAAATGGGGCAATAAAAATTATCAACGAGTCGAAGAATGGCATATGATCTATGTACAGTAAAGTGCTACATGCAAGTTAGTGAACATTGTTGGCGAAACGGAAAAATCTTGGGTGGTATTACACGATTGGACACTCAATACTGAAAAATAACATGGAACTTTTCATACCAGGAACCGTTGACATATGTTACGACACCCACTCCTCCGGTTTCACGATCCTGTCGGTAAACTTGAAAAACATTTTTCTTGACCAATGGGGGAACAGTCATCTTGGCCAAATGAGTGCAATTAAGAATAACTTGACATCCTGCACGCTGGCGCCTTTTGGTCTAACCTGGACAGTGAGAAACTGTATTCGAGCAAGCCGATGAACCATTAAAAGATATCCTGGCAGGCTTGAGACAAATAATGTAATCCACTGAGTAGCGATGACGCAGGATAGAGTGAAAGTGTAAATATTTCGTTGCTGTCGAGCTAAATGGACTGCCTGACCATGATTGAAGATGACACCTGAACAAACATGATTTGCCATTCGGTTCAGCCATGTTTATGAGCTGCTTGGCTCAGTGGTAAGGGATACGCCTTCCGGTCCGGAGTTGAAATCCCGGACGGGTCGGTGTATATGCATTACTGATGAGCTATACTAAGAGCGAAGCTTGAGCCTAGATCTAAGGATTGTGCGTGAATGTGAAGTCCGAAGGATGGTCGGTTCAAATCAATCAACAGGTGAAGGATAAAATAAAATTGGTGGGAGGCACACTGGTACACAAATTCGGAAATAATTGATTGTTGAATACCAAACTTGGGAAGTGAATATTGAAAGAAAGCCGTTTAAGCTTACTGATGATATGTTGAATCTGAGGTCCAATGAAGGTTAGCTTCGATAAAAATACCCAAGATAATTAATACAGATTACTCGGGATACTGGTTCATAGCTAATCGATACCGGATCAGATGGGAACGAAGAGCGTGATAATATAAAGAGACAATCGAAACATCTAGAGAGATTAGGAGCGAGCCCGGATGTGGCAGAAAGTTGCTAAACGTTTTCCAAGTTGTCACAAAATTGTGAAAACCAGAAAATTCTTTGATGGACAGACATAAAACCCCATCGTCAGCGTATTTAAAGACAAAAGGAGTGCTAGCATATAAATCACCAATATACGTTGGAAACAAGTTTTGGGAAAGAATTGTACCTTGAAGTACCCAGTATGGTTCCCCAATGTTTTGTATTTCTTCCAACCTAACCTGGTGCATTGAGTTTTCCTGGAGAATTAATCAGCAAGCCAAGCTGATAACTACCTGAGGCAACCAAAGGTCTCCAGTTTACGAAGAAGAAGGGAACGAGAAGTAGAATCAAAAGCAGATGAGTACTCGAGAAACGCACACAAAATAGATCTCATAGAGTCCTTCAAGGATTTGGTAATTTTA